GCATCACTGCCTAGTCCTTAGCATTACTGATGAGCCCTTAGGCACCACTGCCTAGTCCTTAGGCACCACTGCCTAGTCCTTAGCACCACTGCCTAGTCCTTAGGCACCACTGCCTAGTCCTTAGCATCACTGATGAGCCCTTAGGCACCACTGCCTAGTCCTTAGCACCACTGCCTAGTCCTTAGCACCACTGCCTAGTCCTTAGGCACCACTGCCTAGTCCTTAGTATCACTGATGAGCCCTTAGCATCACTGACTAGCACTTAGCATCACTGATGAGCCCTAAGCATCACTGCAAGCCCTTAGCATCGCTAATGAACGTAAAGCATCACTGACAAGTCCTAATCATTACTGCTGAGCACTTAGCATCACTGATTAGCCCTTAGTATCACTGATGAGCCCTTAGCATCACTTACTAGCCCTTAGCATCGCTGATGAACGTAAAGCATTACTGATAAGCCCTTAGCATCTCTAACGAGCCCTTAGCATCACTGACGAGCCCTTGGCATCACTGATGAGCCCTTAGAATTACTGATGAGGCCTTAGCATTACTGACGAGCCCTTAGCATCACTGATTAGCCCTTAGTATCACTGATGAGCCCTTAGCATCACTGACTAGCACTTAGCATCGCTGATGAACGTAAAGCATTACTGATAAGCCCTTAGCATCTCTGACGAGCCCTTAGCATCACTGACGAGCCCTTGGCATCACTGATGAGCCCTTAGCATTACTGATGAGGCCTTAGCATGACTGATGAGCCCTTAGCATTACTGATGAGCCCTTAGCATCACTGATGAGCCTTTAGCATCAATGACGAGCCCTTAGTATTACTGATGAGCCCTTAGCATCACTGTTGAGTCCTTAGTATTACTGACGAGCCTTAAGACGACGAAACATACTTGTGATGCAGTTTAATTTCACTATCCACCTCTACTGCAGTAGCTGATTGTCTTGTATAGTCTAGTAACCCAACAACAAATACCAACTGCAAATATATTTTGTTTCGATTATTAAATTTTCACGAATTTACCAAAATCTTAGCCTGTCTCTAGTATATTAAAAATAGCAATTCACATCTGGCTTTATAGTTATGATTTCTTGAACATGTTTGATTCTAGATGCCAAACAGGGACAGATAACCCAAGAACTTAGAAGAACAGTTCTTTACAAAACCTCATCAAAAATCTTGATTTATTTTTCTGTTATGTGTGTGATTAAACGGCTATAAATTTCCCAATCAATTTGTTTCCAAATTATCTATTTTAATCATTTCATTCTTTCAAATAGTAAAACATTATTATCCAGTATAATATCAGGTTATATAGAGTGTACTTGTACAGCTGTATATAAGCATATATTAACCTGCATTGTGTGTCTTTTATACAATTTATAATCAATGTACACGTGTTTAGGACGGAACAACGCCAGTACAGTTACATTTAATTGGAGTCGTTATTCCATGTTTTGCTATTAGGACGAAAAACCATAAAAGGAGAAAGTAGGATAAATCCATTCGTTTATTTACTACCATTTTAAACATCGTATCAAACTACGATGTTTGCGTGCTATCGTACCCCTACTTCGCTCAGGAAACTGATATCGTCAACCTTATTTATACACTTGGTTTAAGTACATCTATAAATTTGTATCAACTATTCTTCACATTTAAAAATGCTAAATTTAGATTTACAATACAATGACACATATAATATCAATAAGGTTACTAATTTCAATTTCCCTCACCACGCCAATCAGCTTTATTGCTAATGAACCTTAAACTCGTTGTCACAGTAATAACTGTACCTATCATTTACGTAATAAACTACAGATTAAATGTTTCTGTATTCTGATCAATCTACTGTACAAATACGAATTTATGAAATATGAACGAATCCCTGTAGAAGAATATATGAAATCCTGTAACCACTTTAGTTATATAAGTTATAATGTTACACATCTATATCAATAGAAAGAATATATAAATTATTAAATATATGTAAGCCTTATCATATGTCAGCAAGTAGAAACACTTACCTCTGGAATGAACTGCTGACTGTGATCTACACTATAGTAAATTATCTCCTAACACAGAAACAGACAATAACAACATTGCATTGACAACCAACCATTACCACTCATTGGAACCGGAACAAGGATATACTATTCCATACTACAGAGACCACGGTTGTAAATACTTTAAACAGATCACCGAGACCTTATAACAATACACTGTACAGCATATTCTGAGATGTTAACCTTAAACACAAGATTGATTGAAAAGTGCATTTGCAGGCTTTGTTGAAAACCTCTGTTTCCTATGTCAACAAAAAGGGCGAAATAATGAGGGTTAATGAATTATCGTCAACTCGCACATCTAGGCACTCATTGCTTGAAAAAGGGAAACATGATTTCTCTCGAAAGCTCGAAAATATAGTTTTCAATAACTAATGCTGTTGAAGCTGAACACTTCATTAAAAAATATAACAACCATGTATTAAATTCATAGGACACAATAATTCGTTTTAAAATCCGAACTTTTCACAAAAACGAAGTGTGTGAATTTGTGACAGTTATTCAAACTGACATCGTTTTATGGTATATTGGTGACAGTTTCCAATCTTATAGAAAATATAAACCCAAATCAATAAACTACACAGATCAGGACAAATGTGACCCGTAAAATTTCAAAGTCCTCATACAAAAATCATGAGGTTAAAGTTTAAAAACATTCGAGTAGAGTAAAACCGCGAAAAGCCGCGTAAACTAAAAGAGGGAAATTAAATACTCTCGAAAATGATAGTTTTACAGTATCTGATGGCATTGTCATTTCTTCGTCGATATTTTGTTTTGATATCTAAAAGAGATTTCTTCGATGTAACTAAAAGTGGAACTTTGCAAAGCAGACAAATTCATTATCATACAATACTGTATCTAAATCTACATGTGTATTGCCAGTTGCTATTCACTCGTGTCTTTTGTACAATCTGGTTTTTTTAACGAAATAAAGACAAATACACGAGTTTCAATACGTGTTAGTTTTGGTCATGTCCCACGTTGTGATTAAAACTGATTAACATTACTTCCTGGTTTACGTTTACACATAGATCTGTTATGTACCTAACTACTGCCTTGTAATCATAAGGAGGTACTACTCACGTATGTGTCTTTTGTACAAACTTGAACACAAAGTATTCTTTTATATTATTACCAGTCTTGAATAAGTGCAGAACAATTGCGCTTTGTCTACTGAGTTCGCGACAAAACCATTGTTCCCTGCTTGTGTCAAATTCTGTAAATATCCTTTGATTCATTTTTGTCTCGCCAAAACCAGACGTGGTTATGTAAATAAGGGTGATTTACTTTTCGGTGCACGATCATTGATTATAATGTTTTCAGTCCTATAAACATACTCAGGACTTTTAAGTGACTTTCAGTCACTAGGATCAATTGAATTAAAATCATTCAAAGCCATCACTCAATCGCAAATAAGTATATTTATCTATTTTTCTTATTTATAATTTTATTACTATATATACATATGTACAAACCAATTATGTAGGAATCCTCCCTATGTCATCATCACATCCTCATCGTCATCATCTATCATCATTTACTCCTCCTCCTCCTCCTCCTCATCATCATCATCATCATCATCATCATCATCATCATCATCATCATAACAATAATCATTTTAAGCACGCAGTAAGACCAGCTTTCAAATAAATTGAAATAATTAAATTAAACAAAATGGTTTATTTTTGTTTCGCATATTATTAAAATCTCAATACATATCATTTTCAATAATGTAGTTATTACTAGTTTGCCGTCTGCTTGGTTATGGCCTCGTAAACAACCAAGCTCTCCTTGAAGCACCTGGTGGTTACCTCTCTGAACAACATACACGAGGCTTTGCATGCGATGCAGGGTGAACACACCCACGACAGCAAAGCCAGGCCAGTACTCCGTGTCCTGAGAAACACTGATCGAGACGCTTGGTCAGATCTCTATCTCACATTACGTAAGTCAGAGTTCAAACCGAGCTAGATCTATCGTGGCCCTTTTCAATATTTACTGGTATTTAAACTATAATTATCTCATACAATGAGCGCATTAACATTATCCACAACAGCAATGTAATGAAGTAATTAATCACAGTTGTAACCAGAAACACCACACAATAATAGTTTGTATATCCCCAGCGGGACACAATTCAATTAGTTTACTCTGTACGCTAAACAACTTACCAGATAAAATATACAATATTTTACCAGAAACTGGGAAACGATTTGGGTACCGCACCTGATTTGGTGTTCGCCAGTGAAACTAGAAAATGTTAGACTTGAGGAAAAGTAAATAAAAATGAAACATAGAAAAATAAAGAAAAAACCCGAGCCATAACTGAGGTCCTTGTTAAAAACCATATAGCTACTGTATCATTCGTTTATTGGTTGTTTGCTCCGTGGTACTTAAGTAGCTAATCTACAAATAACCCGGTACTCCCTTGATCACTTCAGGAAAAAGTAGTCAATAAATTTCTGGAGTAACTTCCGAGTCGTTTAGATGCTTAGCAATACTGACTCTTTCAAACGTCCACATGCTCCTGTGCATGATGTAGCGTTTTGAACAAAATAGCGGTCTTGACGGACAAAGGACATCGGAATTTAATAGGATTTGTGTTATCTTTCCAATGAGTGTTTGATGAATGAAATTTGTCAAGAATTGACCAACACGTGACCTTACAATTTTAGAAATATATGTAGCTTTTCCCTGTAAGGTTGAAAGGTCCTTCCATCTGTAAATGTGTACCCACACAGAATGTCATTTGATGGTGTCATATCTCGTTCGTCGCAGAAATCCGATATTAAATCACGGAGCCCATTTTATTCAGCAGGAACCGACATCTTCTTTTTGTCACCGATGAAGTATGTCCGCCGTCCTCGGCTCCAACTTCAAAACCCAATCCAGGATTACAGCAAAAAAATAAGGAACGAAAACTCAAATCAATTTTAGATTTATTTCAGTGTTTTAACAATCTGACACTTTTAACAAAATCATTACATTTTCTTATTTGTTTATATTGGCGAATTTTAAAACTTGAACGCAAGACTCGACATTAGAACTGTAATGAATATAATCAAAATATTAGTTCTTTTTAATATGGGAATGTCAGAAAACCGAATTTTAAAATGTCTTCAATTTTCCCTTTCTCGGGAGTTATCACTATTATACATATAGAAAGACCGTGTATTGAGATTGGGAATTCATGACACGTCCCTATGGCCCCTGTCACGTCTGTGTTACACGAAGTCTTTAAATATACAGATGGTAGCTCCCTCATAAACGTTTGAATTGTACAGACAATCGACAGCTAGTCCGCATTTGAATTGCACAGAAAGGTCAGGACAGGCCCTCAACGTCTGTGTTACACAAGCACTTTAGGAAGTTCCCTCCACATCTGAACGTCGACGTATCATCGTTAGGCCGTCTCGTATGGGAACCAAAACCTTATTCAAAGAGTAAATTGTATTAAATTGAATATAACCAAAAATGTGGTAAAAATGGTTTAACTGGGGGTGTCAGTTAAGACATTTTGTCAGATAGTTATCCAATTGATTATCATTCTAATATTGAGGCTTTGGCACCTGTAAACACTTTGAACCTTCATTATTTTATTTCATTCTTTATTTTTGTATTTGAAATTTAAATCCATTTATCTTTGAAAATTCAAATGATGTTAAAAAAGAAAAACAGACAAAAAATATATATGTATATATAAAATAATACTGGTACATTTCCTGATAAAATTGCAATACATGGAAATATTACATATGGCGAACCTCCACCCTAACACTGGTGTATACTGTAGTGAAAAGCAATGTAAGGCGAGCTTTGGACCATTGCCAGAACCCTTATTCATATATCTTATCGGTTCAAACAAGTTTAATGGAAATAAACTCTACAATATCTAACTCCGATGTAGATAATATGGCAGGTTACAATCAGATTTCTAGGTTCCAGTTGTTTAAAGGTTAGCCGAGTTAACCACAAGCAAGTGAAATGTATTGCTACAAAAACACAAAAGCGTTAAAGGCAAAATGAACACTTCACAATACAGTTGGACTTCGTTATGTCGAACTTTTCGGGACCATGGGAATACTTCGAGATAACTGAGTGTTCGATTTAAGTGAGTTGAATGTTTTTTGTAAAGTCAGGACGGGACCGACGAAATGATTTGAATTAAACGGGGTCTTCATGTTATACGACTTCGAGACAAAGAGTTTCGACTGTATATCAGTCTGGGTTGCCTCATAAAATCAACAGAAATGATAACGAAAATTCTCAGCTTTGTTTTATTCATGTTTGACAATTTTCATTCACCAGTCATTGAACAACCGGGGCCTATATGAGTTCCTGACCTTCTCTACATTAGAAAGGTTACAGGCAGATAAGACGAGTAGTACTCTTGATGAACACGTCATCACCAATATCTGCATCGTATCGGTCGATCAATACGTACACAGACTATAATAAGCCAAAACATGTATGAAGTATATTTCTAAAGTGATTAATCTAAATTGCATTTTAACGATATACAAACTTCGATGTAACTCCTCGTTTATGACAAATGCGTTTCGTCTAAGAACAAAATGTGATTTTAAAGATTTGTATTTTCGATAGGATATTTCGCTTTATTAAGAACGGACCGGAATTATAAATATACATAACAACAGGAATTAATGTGAGAGAGAAAACCATAAATCGTGATTGTGACTTTTGTATAAAGAGCAAAATGAGGTAAAATTAGATAAGAATCATCCGCGAAATTTTGATTTATCTAAAAAAAATCATTTACAGAAAGGTAGAAAACAATATCCCCCAAATAAGTACGATTATTACCTGATACACTCTCTCGTCTTTTTCTACAAAGTCGTTGAAATCTCGAATGATTTGACCCAATTTGATCGCCCTATCCGACATCAGGTTATGGCAGTAGGGTGCTCCCTGGAATAGGGTGTTGTCTGCCAGGATCGTCCCCCGGGCTGTTAACATGTCTTTGTCCATGATTATCTGTAGAAATTATAAAAATGTTAACTCTAACGATCCATAATATCTATGAAGGACGTATTTTTTTTTAAACCTTTGAGGCTGTTGAGAAAAATCAATATTCGTGGAAATGTCACCATTATATTACCATAAAACGGAAATAGTGAAATATTTAGAAAAAATGTATTAGTGACGTAATAAGTTTTAATAAGGAGCTGTTATAGGGCATTCAGTAGAAAGGACCTACGTACCTCATAGGAACATCGTGGTGTAGTTAGACATAGAAAAAGGTATCACTATGCCACTGTATGATAGTTGGAGACGACTAAAAATATGCCCCTGCACGATCGGGGATTTTTGTCTTTGGCTTAAACCAAGGAATCATTATAGAAACCAATTTAGGTCTGCTGCCCTATTGTAACACATGAACACTTGACCCTTTTCTTTACTTCATGCCTACAATTTCTTGCTGTGTTTTTTATTTTCTACTCTGTATCCCATTTAACCTTTAATGACCCTGACTGTTACGCGGACGTTGATGTCCTGTTTTAAGTAGCAGACATTGATGTTCGACGTTGTAGCTGATAGTTACAAAGTAAGCATGGATATATAAAACAATCATTGGCACCATTAACCTGTAATAGTTGATATTAGTGACTTAAGTATAGGCACCATTAACCTGTAATAGTTGATATTAGTGACTTAAGTATAGGCACCATTAACCTGTAATAGTTGATATCAGTGACTTAAGTAGAGGCACCATTAACCTGTAATAGTTGATATAAGTGACTTAAGTAAAGGCACCATTCACCTGTAATAGTTGATATTAGTGACTTAAGTAAAGGCACCATTCACCTGTAATAGTTGATATTAGTGACTTAAGTAGAGGCACCATTCACCTGTAATAGTTGATATCAGTGACTGAAGTAAAGGCACCATTAACCTGTAATAGTTGATATTAGTGACTTAAGTAGAGGCACCATTCACCTGTAATAGTTGATATCAGTGACTGAAGTAAAGGCACCATTAACCTGTAATAGTTGATATTAGTGACTTAAGTAGAGGCACCATTAACCTGTAATAGTTGATATTAGTGACTTAAGTATAGGCACCATTAACCTGTAATAGTTGATATTAGTGACTTAAGTATGGGCACCATTAACCTGTAATAGTTGATATCAGTGACTTACGTATAGGCACCATTAACCTGTAATAGTTGATATTAGTGACTTAAGTATAGGCACCATTTACCTGTAATAGTTGATATTAGTGTAATAGTTGATATTAGTGACTTAAGAGAGGCACCATTAACCTGTAATAGTTGATATTAGTGACTTAAGTAGAGGCACCATTAACCTGTAATAGTTGATATTAGTGACTTAAGTAGAGGCACCATTAACCTGTAATAGTTGATATTAGTGACTTAAGTAGAGGCACCATTAACCTGTAATAGTTGATATCAGTGACTGAAGTAAAGGCACCATTAACCTGTAATAGTTGATATCAGTGACTTACGTATAGGCACCATTAACCTGTAATAGTTGATATTAGTGACTTAAGTATGGGCACCATTCACCTGTAATAGTTGATATTAGTGACTTAAGTATAGGCACCATTCACCTGTAATAGTTGATATCAGTGACTTACGTATAGGCACCATTAACCTGTAATAGTTGATATTAGTGACTTAAGTATGGGCACCATTAACCTGTAATAGTTGATATTAGTGACTTAAGTAGAGGCACCATTAACCTGTAATAGTTGATATTAGTGACTTAAGTAGAGGCACCATTAACCTGTAATAGTTGATATCAGTGACTGAAGTAAAGGCACCATTAACCTGTAATAGTTGATATCAGTGACTTACGTATAGGCACCATTAACCTGTAATAGTTGATATTAGTGACTTAAGTAGAGGCACCATTAACCTGTAATAGTTGATATCAGTGACTTACGTATAGGCACCATTCACCTGTAATAGTTGATATCAGTGACTGAAGTAAAGGCACCATTAACCTGTAATAGTTGATATTAGTGACTTAAGTATGGGCACCATTCACCTGTAATAGTTGATATTAGTGACTTAAGTATAGGCACCATTCACCTGTAATAGTTGATATTAGTGACTTAAGTAGAGGCACCATTAACCTGTTTTGGTTGATATCTGTGACTTAAGTAAAGGCACCATTAACCTGTTATAGTTGATATAAGTGACTTAAGTAGAGGCACCATTAACCTGTAATAGTTGATATTAGTGACTTAAGTAGAGGCACCATTAACCTGTAATAGTTGATATTAGTGACTTAAGTATGGGCACCATTAACCTGTAATAGTTAATATTAGTGACTTAAGTATAGATATTTACCACCATCGTTGGTACCATTACCTTGTAATAGTTGAGATAGTTGTCTTTGTCAGCATCGATGAAAATAATGTCATATTTTTCTCCAGCATCAGCAAGTTCCGCAAGAGAGTCTAATGCTGACCCTGCAAATCGAGTAAACGAGATCAAACACAAAAGACGTGATGTTGTCGTATGACACAACAGACACTGTAAACAGTTTCGACTTAAAATTTACTAGAATTCCACTTTTAGACTTAAATACAGACATGTTGGCCTGTAGTCGATATCGTACTATTATACCAATATCTACACTTGTCCTTCATCTTCAATCTTTCTACTTTTTCGTCAAATATGCAAGTCCGATAATCAATTCAAGAGAGCACTACATAAACTAAGGAAATTTCCTTAAATCTAAATTTTCCTTAACTTATGTAATGCTTTTATGAATTTTCCTTAACTTAAAAATTCCAATAGGAGAGCCTTAAATAATTAAGGAAATTTCCTAAAATTGAAGTTTTCCTTAACTTCAGATTCCCAATAGGAGAGCAATAAATAATTAAGGAAATTTCCTAAAATTTAGATTTTCCTTAACTTATGTAAGAAACGTTTTTACCTATTTTTATTGTTACTTTCTTTCCATGAGGCGACTTATCCATGAATTTACGTGCAAGGTCTTTTACATATGGCGCTATTTCACACGATGTTACGCTGCCGTCTGCCGGAAGTGCTTCCGCTATTGTTAGAGCACCACATCCGGTGAATAGGCCAAGCTCTAAAACCTTTTTGGCGTTGCTCAAGCTGATGATTGTCTTCAGAAAATTTCCTGTGTAAAAGACAAATATAGATAATAAACTTAACAATCTTATTAAATATCAAATCGTTTACGAAAAAACGGCAAATGTTCTCGTGCATTCAACCTGAAATCAGGTAAGAATGAAATGAGATCTGTTTTTACATTATGGTATCTTAATTAGTCATTTTCATCGGGTTTTTGGCAAAATTGTGTTAGTTACATTTCTTTGTTTGCTTGTGTTTTTTTTTTTTTTTTTTCTTAATTTTTCATCGGTCAGTGTATTTTTATCCACACAACGGGTCAGAATTTCTAATTCCGTGCTGCGATAAAAGTTCCACCGCTGATCAGTTCAGAGCGATCATACATGCTGTTTGTTGGTTTCATTGGGTTTTTTTTCAGACACAATACCATAACAGATTCAGGAAAAGCCTCTCTTTGTTTACCTTGAAACGTATTTGTACGAATTGGTTAACATGCCTAACATACCCGGCTGATATTTCAAGTATTTTAAGGAAGATCATGACGTCATGCACAGATCCCATGAGGAGGGAGCTACAGGGTACATACAAATGCCAGTGTTGCTGTGTAATTTCCCTATCACGGGCCCGTGACCTGTCATTAGCAATCTTTTAAATCAATTAGCTTTAATCAGATTGATTGTAATTATCATTATTCCAACCTTGAGAAGTCAATCAGTAATCTTTTTTCAAATTTTCTATTTATATACGTATACATATGAGGGGTGGGGGTGGGAGGGTGTTTATTTGTTGTTCTTCGAAAACCAACAATATAACTGACCTTCTAGTTTCCCGGAAATCATTCCGGAATGCAGGAAAGGAATGGTTCCAGCCTTATGTAAATCGCTCCAAGGATGGTTCTGGGTTTGTTCAATTAGGCTTGTCACGTGCTCACTAGCGGAGGACGACTTCATGTCACAGTAGTCATCACGTGCCTGTAGATGAAATAAATCGGAAATGTGTAATGTTAAGTTACTATCAGAAAAAAAACAGGATAGAACTGAAGTGTGGAATTTGTAGAGAGACTGGTCACAATAGACTTACTCATTTCAAGGAGGATACATAAGCTTATCCAGTCTTTGAGCATATGTTAACACATATTTGAACTTCATTTCAGTGACTCAGTTGGAATGACACTGTATGTCAGAAGATCATAGTCTTTTAATGCATGTTGCATACCAGATATTTTCTTTTGTTTTTGTTTCTAATGAGTTAGGTCGATCCGCAAAATGAATGACTTACTTACATTGGCCATGAGTCGTAACATTGCTAATGTTCTAGTCAGGGGAGCATTGACATCTGTATGTACTATGTTATTGTGATTATGTAAAAGTTTGGTATGGTATATACAAGAGATAGTATTGAGTATGGTGTTGGATAGTATTGAGTATGGTGTTGGATAGTATTGTGTATGGTGTTGGATAGTATTGAGTATGGTAAGAGATAGTACTGAGTATGGTATGAGATAGTATTGAGTATGGTATGAGATAGTATTGAGTATGGTGTTGGATAGTATTGAGTATGGTGTTGGATAGTATTGAGTATGGTGTTGGATAGTATTGAGTATGGTGTTGGATAGTATTGAGTATGGTAAGAGATAGTATTGAGTATGGTAAGAGATAGTATTGAGTATGGTAAGAGATAGTATTGAGTATGGTAAGAGATAGTACTGAGTATGGTAAGATATAGTATTGAGTATGGTATGAGATAGTATTGAGTATGGTGTTGGATAGTACTGAGTATGGTAAGAGATAGTATTGAGTATGGTGTTGGATAGTATTGAGTATGGTAAGAGATAGTATTGAGTATGGTGTTGGATAGTACTGAGTATGGTAAGAGATAGTATCGAGTATGGTGTTGGATAGTATTGAGTATGGTGTTGGAATGTATTGAGTATGGTAGGAGATAGTATTGAGTATGGTGTTGGATAGTATTGAGTATGGTAAGAGATAGTATTGAGTATGGTGTTGGATAGTATTGAGTATGGTGTTGGATAGTATTGAGTATGGTGTTGGATAGTATTGAGTATGGTGTTGGAATGTATTGAGTATGGTAAGAGATAGTATTGAGTATGGTAAGAGATAGTATTGAGTATGGTGTTGGATAGTATTGAGTATGGTGTTGGATAGTATTGAGTATGGTGTTGGAATGTATTGAGTATGGTAAGAGATAGTATTGAGTATGGTGTTGGAAAGTATTGAGTATGGTGTTGGATAGTATTGAGTATGGTGTTGGAATGTATTGAGTATGGTAGGAGATAGTATTGAGTATGGTAAGAGATAGTATTGAGTATGGTAAGAGATAGTATTGAGTATGGTGTTGGAGAGATAGTATTGAGTATGGTATGAGATAGTATTGAGTATGGTATGAGATAGTATTGAGTCTGGTGTTGGATAGTACTGAGTATGGTAAGAGATAGTATTGAGTATGGTAAGAGATAGTATTGAGTATGGTGTTGGATAGTATTGAGTATGGTGTTGGATAGTACTGAGTATGGTAAGAGATAGTATTGAGTCTGGTGTTGGATAGTATTGAGTATGGTAAGAGATAGTATTGAGTATGGTGTTGGATAGTATTGAGTATGGTAAGAGATAGTATTGAGTATGGTGTTGGATAGTATTGAGTATGGTGTGGTGTTGTATGAGTATGGTGTTGGATAGTATAGTATGGTGAGTATGGTAAGAGATAGTATTGAGTATGGTGTTGGATAGTATTGAGTATGGTAAGAGATAGTATTGAGTATGGTGTTGGATAGTATTGAGTATGGTAAGAGATAGTATTGAGTATGGTAAGAGATAGTATTGAGTATGGTAAGAGATAGTATTGAGTATGGTGTTGGATAGTATTGAGTATGGTGAGATAGTATTGAGTGGTGTTGGATAGTATTGAGTATGGTATAGTATTGAGTATTGAGTATGGTAAGAGATAGTATTGAGTATGGTGTTGGATAGAGATAGTATTGAGTATGGTAAGAGATAGATAGTATTGAGTATGGTGTTGGATAGTATTGATAGTATATGAGTGGTGGTAAGGATAGTATTGAGTATGAGTATTGAGTATGGTGTTGGATAGTATTGAGTATGGTGTTGGATAGTATTGAGTATGGTGTTGGATAGTATTGAGTATGGTAAGAGATAGTATTGAGTATGGTAAGAGATAGTATTGAGTATGGTGTTGGATAGTATTGAGTATGGTAAGAGATAGTATTGAGTATGGTGTTGGATAGTATTGAGTATGGTAAGAGATAGTATTGAGTATGGTATGAGATAGTATTGAGTATGGTATGAGATAGTATTGAGTATGGTAAGAGATAGTATTGAGTCTGGTGTTGTAGTATGAGTATGGTGTTGGAAGTATTGAGTAGTATTGAGTATGGTGTTGGATAGTATTGATGTATAGTATTGAGTCTGGTGTTGGATAGTACTGAGTATGGTAAGAGATAGTATTGAGTATGGTAAGAGATAGTATTGAGTATGGTAAGAGATAGTATTGAGTATGGTGTTGGATAGTATTGAGTATGGTGTTGGATAGTATTGAGTATGGTGTTGGATAGTATTGAGTATGGTGTTGGATAGTATTGAGTATGGTGTTGGATAGTATTGAGTATGGTAAGTTGATAGTATAGTATGGTGAGTATGGTGTTGGTAAAGATAGTATTGAGTATGGTGTATATTGAGTATGGTGTTGGATAGTATTGAGTATGGTGTTGGATAGTATTGAGTATAGTATTGAGTATGGTGTTGGAGAGATAGTATTGAGTATGGTAAGAGATAGTATTGAGTATGGTGTTGGATAGTACTGAGTATGGTAAGAGATAGTACTGAGTATGGTGTTGGATAGTATTGAGTATGGTAAGAGATAGTACTGAGTATGGTAAGAGATAGTATTGAGTATGGTAAGAGATAGTATTGAGTATGGTAAGAGATAGTATTGAGTATGGTAAGAGATAGTATTGAGTATGGTGTTGGAAAGTATTGAGTATGGTGTTGGATAGTATTGAGTATGGTAAAAGATAGTATTGAGTATGGTGTTGGATAGTATTGTGTATGGTGTTGGATAGTATTGAGTATGGTAAGAGATAGTATTGAGTATGGTAAGAGATAGTATTGAGTATGGTAAGAGATAGTATTGAGTATGGTGTTGGAAAGTACTGAGTATGGTAAGAGATAGTATTGAGTCTGGTGTTGGATAGTATTGAGTATGGTGTTGGATAGTATTGAGTATGGTGTTGGATAGTATTGAGTATGGTTTTTGATAGTATTGAGTATGGTGTTGGATAGTAGTATGAGTATGGTAAGAGATAGTATTGAGTATGGTAAGTATATGAGTATGGTGTTGGATAGATAGTATTGAGTATGGTATGGTAGTTGGATAGTATTGAGTATGGTAAGAGATAGTATTGAGTATGGTGAGATAGTATTGAGTATGGTAAGAGATGGTATATGAGTATGGTGTTGGAAGTAGAGTATGGTGTTGGATAGTATTGATAGTATATTGAGTATGGTGTTGAGATAGTATTGAGTATGGTAAGAGATAGTATCGAGTATGGTAAGAGATAGTATTGAGTATGGTGTTGGATAGTATTGAGTATGGTGTTGGATAGTATTGAGTATGGTAAGAGATAGTATTGAGTATGGTGTTGGAATGTATTGAGTATGGTAGATATGAGGTGTTGATAGTATTGAGTATGGTAAGAGATAGTATTGAGTATGGTAAGAGATAGTATTGAGTATGGTAAGAGATAGTATTGAGTATGGTAAGAGATAGTATTGAGTATGGTAAGAGATAGTATTGAGTATGGTAAGAGATAGTATTGAGTATGGTGTTGGATAGTATTGAGTATGGTAAGAGATAGTATTGAGTATGGTGTTGGATAGTATTGAGTATGGTGTTGGATAGTATTGAGTATGGTGTTGGATAGTATTGTGTATGGTAAGAGATAGTACTGAGTATGGTAAGAGATAGTATTGAGTATGGTAAGAGATAGTATTGGTTAACAAAATGGTTTATACCATGTGACCAAGAGCTCATTTGCTGAAACACCCACGAAAGTTCTGTTATAATAACCTTAAGCATTTTTTATTGTTAAAGCTGAGCAATACACGTCCACGTGCCTTTTGTATCTGTTGTTATTTAGTTGTGTTCATAGTACACATATCAAATTTAAGTCAGTTAAGGCTGAGTACTTTTTATTCTGGTGAGCAGCTTGTACAATGTATATGTATAATAGAAACACTAAGAATTGTGTAAGTACACATGGTGTACTTTTTCCAACTATTTTTTTTATTCATGTTCATATTTTTAGTTCCAAATTTCCATGTATGAAGTATTCGGTGATTTTTGAGGGTTTTATTTTTATTTTTGCGTTATTTGCCTACTTTATTTCAGGTTTGCACCTCATGAACTACACCCATAAGATACTTTTATATAATATAACATTCAAAGTGATTCTTCAATATGATATAGTTAGCACAGCTGTTTTATTTACTGAAATACATGATCACGTTGAAAAAAATGGTTATCAGATCTAGATCAATATGGAAATGTCTCATAGACTACACTTGTATGATATTGATAAATGAATCTTTGTGCTAACAAGAATTTGTAATTGATTTTATTTTTGTTACAAATTTGTTAATATTTACGTTTTATCGTTGAATGACAAAGGCATGTCGTTTAAACTTTACAAATAAAAGAGTTACAAAAACATCGTAGAGTCGACGTTTGTCCCGGAACTATTTGTGTGGTACATATTTGCGTTTACACTGAAAGTTCAAAATACATTTAACGGCCTAAAATGAGATTTCCTGAAGCTGATACCTGGTTTGTCAGTTAGAGAATATATATATTACGTCACACTGATTCGACAAAGTTATTGCCAAAAATAGGGCGGATACCCTATGACACCATAGTCGGTAGTCAGCTTTCCCCTTACAAAGTGAAGTCGGTTCGGTACAACTTGGCTTCTTTTTACGAACATTTTTTTAATTATTTTTTTCCTTTTAAATGGTTAAATGTATTCCATACATCCCAATCTCAATTTCTTCTGGTGTAACAGACAAGTGGAGAGCCCACTGTGTTTTACTTTGATTATACTCGCAAAAAATGGGCCGATTACATTGCGTAAGAGGTCAGCTGTTGACATGACAAGGGGCGTAACTCCGTACAAAGAACAAGTATGTTCTGATAAGTTTGTAAGATACTTATATAACGTTTAACGTGAATTAAATACACCTACTTCCGTATAAGGCTGCATTAACAACCGCATTTTCTCACGTGATTCTATTTCTATGGCCTGGCTATACATATATTATTATTATTATTATCTTTATTTCCTCCTTTAAGAAGATTTCACAAAAAAGAACAACATTAATTTAGTGAAAGAGAACGTTGAATTGGCATGCAAATCAAAATTATTACCAAGATATCATAACATTAGGATAATCATAGTAATTAAGTCGTTACAAAATCAAAATTAAATACATCTTCTTCCGTATAAGGCTGCATTAACCACCGCATTTTCTCATGTGATTCTATTTTCATGGCCTGGCTATACATATTTATAAAACACTTACGTTAACTACTTCCAGACAGAGGTCAATCTGTTGTTTAACTTCATCCGGCACGTCATGCTTCAAAGCTAGTTCCTGCAGTGCCCATAAATTCCTCACCACCGGGTCTCTGTGTGCTCGTTTGGGTGTTGACGCCATCATTTATCCTGAAGCAAAAGAAATCAGTCTGTATGTGGAGTTACAAAAGCCCACCAGATAAAGTAACAATATGGGGTCAGTAACTGTGACGATACAATCACTATCTGGATTCACGAACACTTACCAATGACAAATCTTTATCCTCGGTAAGATAAAGTTCGTGTAAATAATCAGATATACATCATCGGAAAAGCAATCAGATCCCTTGTGAATGCATTCATGATAAAAGGTACACAAATGACCTTTCATCAATGTGTGTTACAGTATGTAGTGACTCTATTTTTAGTAACGCTCATAAATGGTGCAACTCATCTAAGATACTTTAAACACGTAAGAACCTTCAAAATATCAACGAATCAGTCTAATTATGAAGTGCATGCCCATTATCTGAAACTGGAATCACAAAAGTGTCGTTAGTTGCAGTCACCACCATCTCGTCACCACACCTAGTGTTATGATAACTAGGCTAAATGACATATCAGAAGCGGGCGAGAGTGAGGAACCGTCATGTAGAATGCCCTGTACTGCTCCGTGCTACTACATATATATCTACCTAGTTCTACTATGGAGTGATTAGCAGTTAGTAGTTCCTGTGTCGTTTATTTGTTATGTGTGTGCGCGTGTTTTTTCCTGTACATATTTGTATTGTCTCACTTCTGAATGATTTATACCCGAGTTGTCTCCCTTCGTACACAAAATTAGAAAAATGCATGATAATTTTGTATTAAAGCAAAACACAAAAATATACTATTTGGAATCCATTCCAAGTGCTTACGTGAATTTTGAGAATCCCTGACTATTTTAAAGAAGGAGATGATCTTGAGTTTATCACTATCCGATGAAAAGTACATTAGTATTATCCTTATCATTCTGGAGTATTTGTGTGACAAGGTTTGTCTTGATTGGTCGAACGACAAAGCTATAACCAATACATAGGTCACAGTAGGAGAATATCAACAATGACTGGAGTTTATTTAAATGTTTCGGGGTTTTTTTTCTACATTTATTTATTAAGTTAATCACGTACATTCCGTTTGTATACATGATTATATATTGATATAAATATATATATATATATATATATATATATATATATACTGCAATTTCAAAGACATATGTACAGATTACGACTGACATTTGTGACCATTGGTGTGAATATATACTCACCGATTCACTTACAGTAAATTAAACAATAATGACAATTATGTGAGCATTGTTGAAGAAGTGTACAATGTATATACTATGTTGACGTTGATACTTACATGTACAAGCGTTATTGAAGAAGTGTACAATGTATATACTATGTTGATACTTACATGTACAAGCGTTATTGAAGAAGTGTACAATGTATATACCATGTTGACGTTGGCACTTACATGTACAATCATTATATACGTTGAGTCTACATGTACAATCATTTAACGATACAGACATGAATATAACAAAGACATTCATTCTTGATTTCATTTTATCTGGGTTCAGAATGTTTTCATATACTCTCGGGAATTTTAAAGAGGCAGGACGGGACGTCCATATCATACAATGATAGATATAACAGCTATTCGATTTTCAGGAAGTGTACGGACGTGATAACGTACAAGTCACGGCTAATGTTTTGTTGTCTGTTTGTTCTGTTTGTTTTTCAATTCTTTCTCAGTCAATATCCATGATTCTATAACTAATTTGTATAACCAGTTCCGTGTCAATAACTATCGGACGACGTGATCCTTAGGTAATGGCCGTAATGACAATTGTTGTCTTGTGCAATGTTATACAGAACATCTGCTTATTCGAAACTTATTTCATATAGTCAAGTACACACACGTTTGTAAATGTATCGATATGTATATGCAGGGAGATACTGAGTAACTCCATTAAAATCTTCTGAATTATTTATATTGCATGGTTGACGCATCGCAAATTATTTTGTCACATTATTGCCGTCACCGGTGTACAGCTAATTTTAAGACATTTGTCTATGCTACCTCAAAATGACCCATATACCACTTGACTCGTCCTAATTAAGTTTACCCGTGTCCTAGACTTAGGTACTACTTGCTATATACGCCCCAGGGCAGTTGACTTTCACACCTCAGCGGCAAGCCTTTTTTAATCCCCCGCTCCCAACCCGCCCTATCAGAAATGACGTGATATGAATGACCAATTCTAAATTCACTATCAAAGGGAGTGGTACAAATTTCATCATTGCTACATTGTTTCAATCATTAGAGTAAACAACGAATTGTAAAGGGGTACCCTTTTCATTTACAATTGCACCAACGTGATTAGAGATGTTTAGGTCTCAGTTACCTGTGCCCCGTTCATTACAAAATATATGCGCTCTTTGCACTGTGAAAGGGGATACAATTTTCGTAACAAAATAATGATACTAATAAATCCTAACGACAAATCCTAAAAATGACTTTTGTCGGACGGGATATTGTTTAGACTTTAATGCCATGGATTTACAAAATACTTCCTTCGATATATGGTGATATTTCAGTTGTAAATAACACAAATCCGCCATTTCTATAAAACAATCTGAAGTAAGTAAAAAGTACTGGTCACGAAAGTTAGCGAGATCAATTCGGAAATCGGGATTTCTACTATACTGTTTGTGTAGAAAAGATTGATGAGGAACTTTTGGAGAAAAATTGTATATAAACACAGCAACGCTAATTAAATCTAACTGATACAGTATTTTGATTCCATAATACAATCATCGTACAGAAAATATCAATTTATAGGTTATATTTACCATGTTTCGAGACAATCATAATAATCAGATATCAAAATAGGTACAAACATGCATTTCCAGCATTTGAAACAACTAGGAAAAGGTAGAAAAAAAAACCAGTCTCAAATCTCTCTATTATACGTTTCTGAATTTACCTGACATAGCTGACATTCAAGACTTGTTTAAAAGAAGATTTAATTATGCTGGCGTGCTAGTATCGCATTTAGTACACTGTATATCATTACATTAGGCTTTCAAAAATCACGAACTTGTTGCTTGAAAATTATGAACATGGTTTGATTTTGTAACAACCAAGCAAATGGATTACAAAAAGAATTGACTTAATGAATGTTAGTCATCAATCTTAATGAGAATTAAAAGGCACGAGTTCAGTGAATCCGAGATTTGACCTGTACTGTGTATTGGAAATAGATAAAAGCGTGGGCACGGTAGAGGAAAAAAGGTCTTTTTAAAAAATACTGTGGTTAATCAATTTCGAATCATTGTCCTTCTTTTCCTTAGTGTAATGGGTTACTTTCAGATATAGTTAACGGTAGATGTTGTAGATCCCGTCCGATCCGAATCCTTGATCAAGAGTTTTCAGTTGTTAATCTTTCAACTTTAATTGCTAGAGTGTCAAATGTTCTGTTCAAATATATTTTCAAATTCTGGGTCTTTTCTCAGTTTTATTTGTTTAACCAAATCCAGGGGTGTCTATATCATATACACCCTAAACCAAATCCAGGGGTGTCTTTATCATACACCCTAAACCAAATCCAGGGGTGTCTATATCATATACACCCTAAACCAAATCCAGGGGTGTCTATATCATACACCCTAAACCAAATCCAGGGGTGTCTATATCATATACACCCTAAACCAAATCCAGGGGTGTCTATATCATACACCCTAAACCAAATCCAGGGGTGTCTATATCATACACCCTAAACCAAATCCAGGGGTGTCTATATCATACACCCTAAACCAAATCCAGGGGTGTCTATATCATACACCCTAAACCAAATCCAGGGGTGTCTATATCATATACACCCTAAACCAAATCCAGGGGTGTCTATATCATACACCCTAAACCAAATCCAGGGGTGTCTATATCATATACACCCTAAACCAAATCCAGGGGTGTCTATATCATACACCCTAAACCAAATCCAGGGGTGTCTATATCATATACACCCTAAACCAAATCCAGGGGTGTCTATATCATATACACCCTAAACCAAATCCAGGGGTGTCTTTATCATACACCCTAAACCAAATCCAGGGGTGTCTATATCATATACACCCTAAACCAAATCCAGGGGTGTCTATATCATATACACCCTAAACCAAATCCAGGGGTGTCTATATCATACACCCTAAACCAAATCCAGGGGTGTCTATATCATACACCCTAAACCAAATCCAGGGGTGTCTATATCATATACACCCTAAACCAAATCAGATGATTTCGTCGTATATTGACTTTAGTATTGTGTGAAATCATGAAATAGAGTCAGATGATGACAAATTAGCACGTGAAAGTGATAATTGTCCAGTGAACCATGGGGTTCTAAATAGGGGGTTTACATATAATAAATGATGTTTTTATTCAATAGATATTGTTGAACTGAATCGTAACACTCTCATTTTTAAAATAATCATAGAACGTAGTTTTTTGTGTGTGATTTTGAACATGGATAGTAATGCTATCAAGGATTCAAATTCGAAATAAGTCTGACATGTTCAGTGTGTAACCTCTATGTAGGGTACAACACAAACCTATATTCAAATTCAAATTCATTTATTGACTTTGAGCTTTACAGCTCATCAGTATGTACACAATACATATAAATACAGTGGCAGGCAATGCAATACCGCAGTGGAGAATGGACAGAAAATGCATGTAGTTACATATATAACTATAGCTGTACGGGTCTCCGAGTAAAGCTGTATCTACTCAGTTTGATGAAATCATTCATCCATGACTGGTCTCATTCTACCTGTGGGCTCTTCTGTCTACGGCTCGATAAGCGCTGAGGTGATGTAACCCATGATATCCCGTAGAAATAGCTGCATATACATACCACGGGCCAAATATCAGTACCCTGAGGCTCTTTGTTATCGACAAGTCGTTTAATTATTTTAACATATTTGACCTCTGTGACCTTGAGAGTAGGTCAACATCATTCATATTAAAAAACTTGGTATCTATTTTTTCCATTGTGTTACAGGCCTAATATCAGTACCCTGTGCCTTTTGGTTACTGAGAAGAAATCCTTTGAATGGAAAGTTTACGCACGGCGAACGTCGATGGACGAAACACGATGGCTATAAATTATCCTGTCCCTTCGGGTCAAATAACCGAAACAATGCTACAATTTAGAAACAAATTATTTCCAAAATTACTACAAATATCTAAGTTTTAACAAATGAAGGGCGTTGTTTTTCATTTTCAATTAGTATTTAATTTTAAACTTTTGCATATTCTTAGAAAGTTGAACTTATTATTTATAGATGTATCTGTTACCTGTATAACAAGTCACAACAACTCTATTTACTCTGTGCAATGCTTCCGGTTTAGACAGTCTGTATAACTTACATGAATTTTAAATTTGTAAAGAAAGGTATTTTTTTTTTGTAATTTCAGCATACACGTATTACTATGTATAATTATGTAATCAGCCAAAACTTAATTTGGGCCAGCCATGTTTTAAATTCTTACTTTGTAAAATGTTATACACGTGATAGAACGAAATAAATTAATCTGAATCACAACACTGTCGCCTGGAAACAAAAATTGCTCCAACGGGGTGTTCCCAGTTTGCAAACACCAATTGTTTGGTATGTTATTTTAAGGGATTAAAGTCAGTTTCTAAATTACGAGTTACCTGTAGAATGTCTGTTTACCTGTGGAAGATACTTTGTGGGCAAACATTTTGACTATAGACTTATACAGTGGTTATTGTAGGCTAATATAGTTGGTTGATTTTAGAAATTGTACATTTACATTAATTCTATTTAGTATTTTATAAAAATGATATATTTATAATGTATTTACTATCATCTTGTTTATGTACAATAATTGTGTTTAGTATTTTATATTATGAATAGGTTGGCGATTATGTAACACATTTCGTGGTTCTGAACCGACTTAGAATTATCAAATATCATTTGCCACACCCATAACAAAATTTGCTCCACGACTAAATCGGTCACGACAATGTTAGCGATTATTATCACTTATTTTGTAATTCTGAATCGACAGATATCTGCCACACCCATAACAAAATCGTGTGGTGCCAAACGTGATTTCACTTACTCCGTCACTCCTCTTGCTTTCACTACTGCCCGCCATACAAAGTGTTTACAAAGTGATCTGCTTCGTTTTCAATTCTATTACGGAACGTTTTCAGCGCTAAATTAGTAGTCAAGCTGGACATCGACTGTGGATATCGAAATAACATAGAAACGTAAATTGAAAAGAACAAAACGCAAAAAATTAATGTTTTACCTAGATGATCCTTTAATCATTTCACAAAAAGACACCTGTATCTACAGTCTTTATGGTGGGGAATTTATTTATATCTAACACAAAATCATTAAACTAAGTCCAGGCTGCATTGTTATATCTACGTTCGGTACAATGCAATCTGGCAAATGTTTGCTTTTCATATTCAATAGCGTAAAGAATAAGTTCACGTTTAATGTCTATGTCTAAAAAGGTGTAATGTGAAAAACAGAATACAAACACAAGGAAACAAAGACTATCAAGTGTTATGATATACCGGCATTTTATGTCTTAATATGTCTTATTTATAATATCACCGCTGTGACGTCATTGCACACTAGTCCACCTGACCTAGTCTTGGACGACGACAAAGTAGATATTGTGATCTTTTGTGTAATATTTTCAATGTGCATTTGTTATTTTATTTCTGTTTCGTTCTTATCCCCTCACGAGATCTCCGGAAATATGCATTTATATATTGTGGTTGTATTTAAAAGTTCGTCAAGTCTTCCCCATTGTTCATGAAATATTTAGAAAAAAAGCGTACTGATTACCTGACAGCTGCGTATTAGTCGATGTTAATATTTGCTTTTTTTGTTTTTATTTCACAGAATGGGGAAAAGCTTTCATCATGCAGATTTCAAGACACCTGGAAAGTCTGACTTTTTCTGAACTGAGGGTATATACCAGCATATTTGCATACTTTTCAACCATCAGGAAGTATTGTACAACATACATTCAGAACTGATGTTACTGCCATTAACATTGATTAAAGGTATAATCTTGTAATATTATTCTAATTAAACTTAACTCATCATCTGTAATTTAATAGTGATAGAAAATGATGCATTGTATATAACGTTTGTTATTGAAAAAAAACTCAATGTAATCATCCTCGATACTCCAGGGGTTATGATCAATTTCATTCTCTGTATCCCTAGAACCATCCTCGATACTCCAGGGGTTACGATCAATTTCACTCTCTGTACCCCTAGAACCATCCTCGATACTCCAGGGGTTACGATCAATTTCATTCTCTGTATCCCTATCCTCGATACTCCAGGGGTTACGATCAATTTCACTCTCTGTACCCCTAGAACCATCCTCGATACTCCAGGGGTTACGATCAATTTCATTCTCTGTATCCCTAGAACCATCCTCGATACTCCAGGGGTTACGATCAATTTCACTCTCTGTACCCCTAGAACCATCCTCGATACTCCAGGGGTTACGATCAATTTCACTCTCTGCACCCCTGGAACCATCCTCGATACTCCAGGGAATACGACCAATTTCACTCTCCGCACCCCTAGAACATATGGCAAAATTGTAGGCACAAGCGAAGTAATTTGATTGGTTCCAGGAGGAAAAAATACCAACGACAGGCTGATAAGCTCCTTTTGTAGATTACAAAGAAGCGACACCAACTTCATATCCATTACAAAATATCGTTATGTGACCTCGAGATTCCTTTGATGTACATCAAATGATCAAATAGTCATTTCGACTTGTCCACAAGGTGTCGCACACGGAACCTTCAATTTTGCCGTGACATGTTTTAGGGGTAACACCTGGTGTAAGGATAGATTTTAATATGGTTGATTATTCATACATATTCAATGAGGTGCAGCTATATCTCAAAATGTTTTCTTCCTGGCAAAATGTGTAAACTATTAAGTCTGGCAAACATAATAGTAAAAAGCAATCTCAAACTCGTTATTATGAAATTTATCAAACTCACATTTTTTTCTATAAATTATACAAAAAAAGTTACAGTGTTAAGTTACATCTTGTGCTAATGATTTCCTGAATTCGTGTATAAATTTAATTTGAAGATCACATATTAAGACAGTGCTTTCCGAGATGTTAACACTCCTTCAATTGGAACTGTAAACCTTAGGTTTCATCTTAATGTAAATGTTATCGTTGAAAATTATTCCTTTCTAGAAATAAAAGTTTGGAATTCTTAAACCACTAATATCTCTAATTTCTATTACACTTTCCAGACCACATTTTCTGCATCATATCTGGCGGAACTTGATGTGACGTCATCATGGTGTTACCCTGGTAAATACAAGGGTCGGCACGAAATCTTCCAGCATTGAAATTAGCTATCGCTTGTAACTTGTATCCGAGTTTTCTTATACAGAGGGCAACATACACGTCCTCAAGATGGAAAAATGGTACATGCTGCGACACTTCAAACACTTTTGTTACAACGTTCATACTAGTAACGTATCCGGTACCGGAACAAAATCCCGGATAATGACTTCCAGGAAAACTCCTTTTGGAGGCATACCATTTTGAACGCTGGTCACGGATTGGTTGTGCCTTTTGATGACATGCTCCTCCTACGGATGTCTGTAATTGGTCTTTGCGGGCTTTCGCTGCAGTAATAATGTTAGGGATATTGACATACATATCATCATCAGTTTTCATCACAAATTTGGCTTCTTTGCACTTGGTGCTGGCCCATTTGAATGCCATCATGGTCTTGTAGGTCAAATTGCTGTAACTATCTTTGAAATCTTCCTGAAGAATATCCTTGAATAAATTAAATTCCTCTTTGACTTTATCGTTCATCGCTGGATCAGCAGGTGCTCCAAGTAGGAAAGCATATCGAATGTTAGAATCTAACGAATTGTTTTTAGCGTAAGTGAGCCATGTTCTACGTATGGTGTCCCTTTGTATTCTGTTCTTGTGAATAGTAAATATCATAACAACAATGTCTATTTCCGGAGACTTATCGTTGCGAGAACATATTTTGTCATTGTCTAAAATGTAATTAAAACTGTGTTTGAAACAGGACTCACAGTTGTCCAGACGATCAGATGGAGGTTTAGATGGCGCTTTAATCGGAATCTTAGTCAGGGAAATGTTTACAATGGCTGAATCGTTCAACGCGGTCATGTTACGAACTATTGACTTCCAGTTTGTCGGCGTTTGTTTGTTTCGAGGTAATTTCAGCACGCCAAATAATACCCCTGTTTCATTGTTGAATAGGTTATGTACAGAGTCAGATAATTTCTCCGACAATGTGAAGATTTCATTCACGTGTTTCCAGGATAGGGCAACACTACTTACAATAACTATACATAGGCATATTAATGTGAAAAATAAGGCTTTGTTGTTACAAGGCCTGCTTCCCTTCTTGATCCTCATCATGTCGCAAACCAATCCCTGTCACTATAACACACGCGAAGGTATCAATATCGACTTTTAATCCAGTCTCGAGGTCACTCATCCGTGCAGGATATCTTACAATGTTGAAAGACAGGTTTGGTTGAATCGGATTTCTGTAACTGTTATTTAACAAATTTCACTGCAGTTGCTTTAATTCCTTAATGAATGTCTCACATACACGTTCATTATACCTAAATTCATATAACCGATAGTTGTTTCGGTTACATACTCAACACCTGGTCAGGGAAATCCATATATCCATTTCACCTGTCACGTTCGTAATGACACTTTTTACAGAAGTAAAGTTAGTAGACGGCCTACACCACACGGGAATACCCAGCATATATGTTAATAAATGTTATTGTCATTTGAGTCCGGGACAAATCCTTGTCATACAGCCCTGCAGCTCTGTCAGGTTTGATCAATACAGAAAAGCACACATTACAGGTGAGCACAATGGAACACAATATGAGCCATGTGTTACTAGGTCCGACAGTGGTAATGGCCTGAATCAGTTTTCCTGTTTGTAATGAGGCAGACACACGACACGTACACCTATCGGGTACACAAGACGACATATGTGCGACCATATACAGGTACCCTAGAATTGGTTACAGTAGGTAAATATGGACCAATCGTGACCGAGGTAGATCATTATTAGACGTTTTAGAGGGTTAAGCCAACATTAAGTAGAATGTCCTCCCGGTATAACGTGTCAAGCGTGAATAAACTGCAGCTGTCCTTGTTTGCTCGGCATGCGGCAACCTGGCGAATAACATAAAGAAAGGTTGGTGACGGCAGGTTACATTACAAGTCAAGTACATGGATACATTATGTTAACTGAAATGTGTGGTGATGTGGAAACGTATACGATTATATGTGTTTGCATGTATTATGTTGTAAATTTTTTTTACCTGTCTTTTTAATGATTATTATGAAATTTCTATGCGTGAATGTGAGAATAATTGATGTTGTTTATTCATATATATCTTCCACAACAAATCAAGAAGATTTTTTTTCCGTTGTAAAGAGCCTGCGGCGTCAATCGGCCGAAATGATTATCGAGACACCTAAATTTACACCACCACTCTCGATTTAATTTTATAACTTTGAATTTGTTTTATGTTCTATGTATGTGATGTGATTTATGTAATATTTGTGTCTAAATAAAGGGGCAGATTGCCTCGAAAATTTCACAATTCACTTATCCGTACTGTCCTTATTACTTCATTGATCATATATCTATTTCCCTAAAATACAACAACAAAATGGATACATATTCTGATAAGGAAGACAAGAAGAAATAGAAACGTCCGTATCACATATAGACTTAATATCTTTCTCGACACGCATATTGGTTTTGTTTTGAAGAATGCAGGAGGCCGAAGTCAGGCGTTCGTTTTATAAAGTGAATGGAAGTGAATAGAGTCAGGGACGAATGACAGGGCAATAAGAAAGAAGGCCCAGTCGTGACTTTTCTGTTTTTTTTTGTGTTTGTTCACTGAACCGTGAAGCCTCTTCTTGCTGCTCTTACCTTATCTTCACTATACTGATGATGATGATGATGATGATGATGATGATGATGATGGTAAATGATGATGATGATGATGATGATGATGATGATGATGATGATGATGATGATGATGATGATGATGATGATGGTAAATGATGATGATGATGATGATGATGATGATGATGATGATGATGGTAAATGATGATGATGATGATGATGATGATGATGATGATGATGATGATGATGATGATGATTTAAAGGTGTCAACAGTATGATGATGATGATGATGATGATGATGATATAGTAATAGAACGGTTTTCTCTACATTGTACTTTGAAATATAATAAAACCGATTAAAAATTAAATCTGCAGACTTCACGGATGATTGACCATGAACAGCTCACCGAATATCCAACAACAACAATATCTGAAACACTTAAGCACGGTTGCCTGGGAATTATTGACATGAAATATTCAACCATACAAATCACACAGGAAGATAACGTATTCTCTGAATCTTGAATGATGTATTTTTTTTCATTCATGTACAAAAGTTGTTATGTGTAAATGCTGTGTCCAAATTCAGATGTGCCGTGTTTACATGCATTTTCTCATATTGACTGTTTACATAAAAAAAACCTGTTTATAATTATTTGTCACAATATGTGTAGATAGTGTTAGGAAGATTTTTTCTAGAAAGCTCGGTTACTAGAATGACCTGTGTATTTCGGGAAGTTTCTAAATCTAGAAAGCTCGGTTATTAGAATTACCTGGGTGCTTCCGGAAGTTTCTAAAGACACATGTAACCAAGCTTGATACCTGCAAGTCTAGAATCATCTAGACAAGAACTTTCTAGAAACCTTTATTGTATATAAACATGATATATCTAGTTACGTACATCGAGGACAAGAATTACCAAGAAACGATCAGCTTTATCATATATCTAGTTACGTACAACGAGACCAAGAATTAACAAGAAACGATCAGTTTTATCATATATCTAGTTACGTACATCGAGACCAAGAATTGCCAAGAAACGATCAGCTTTATCACATATCTAGTTACGTACATCGAGACCAAGAATTGCCAAGAAACGATCAGCTTTATCATATATCATACGTATCGAAAGAATTGCCAAGAAACGATCAGCTTTATCATATATCTAGTTACGTACATCGAGACCAAGAATTGCCAAGAAACGATCAGCTTTATCACATATCTAGTTACGTACATCGAGACCAAGAATTGCCAAGAAACGATCAGCTTTATCATATATCTAGTTACGTACATCGAGACCAAGAATTGCCAAGAAATTTAGGACTGATCAGAATAAACAAAATGACTAACAAGCAGTGATCCTGGATCAATGAAAGTGTGCTACTGTTATTTCTTTCTCAGGTTCCAGAATAGTTCCTAGTTGTTCCTTTTTAACTTTGGGACGGATCAGAAAAAAATGACAGTTAAAGATGATTGTTCATTTTTCGTAAAAGGAATTTTCAAATTTCATAATCAAAAGCAAAAACAATGAAATGAAGGAAATATCTCCGACGATAAAAAAAATGATGACCCATCAAAGAGATTGTTATTGTAATGATAACAATAAATGAAGGCCATCTTCACTTTATAAAATGTAGATATAGCTATACCAAGATTAGTAACTTATTAGTGTTAACATGTATTCATTGAAGTCTCAGTAACCAAGTTCTGAAGGGCTTGATTTATAATTCTAATTTCTGGACGAAACATAATGTTTGTACCTTTTTATGGGACATGTGGCGGTAAACTTGAATTTCCGAAAAGGAGGGACAAGCAGAATCCATTTGCCCCGAGGTCAATTTGACTAGCACTCCATAAGATTAAGAACACAATTTGATACCGCATCTGTATATGATCTCATGAAGTAAGAACGAATGGTTTCAGCAACACACGCAGATAGCCATCTTGGAAGAATAGGTCACCAGCTTTAGGACTTACTCAGATTCGAGAAATAAAAGGTATCCTAACCAGTGTAGATTTTATAAGATTTCTACACCAGTGAAAACGTGCATTTTAGAATCCGGCAACATATGATTAACGGACAAATATTCGTCAGATTGGGGTTCACCACAATTCCTCCAAATATTGAATTACATTTTTTATACATTAAATAAAACGAAACAAAACACAATATTAAAACAAACACAGAAACAAAGACACAAAATAAAAAAAACAAAGAAACAAAACCCTCAAGTGCTCTTGTTCAAGAGTATAAAAACTCCGTATAGTTCAAAGACTGAATAACCCTACAGTATCAACTATAATAGTATCATGTATGTACGGATATTATTACAGGTAAGCATTTATTGTCGATTTCAGGACAGAGCTACACTGAGTTGTTCCATACGATATACAGTGTACACGTTACAAGCTTTGAACAACTACATTACAACTGACAAGCAGGACTATGTGTATTTAACATCAATTAAGCTTTTTGGTCTGCTGAAGGGGTGTTACAGATGTTGAATTTGACAGTATTTTAAATGCGGCGAAAGATTATTGTTTTCATCAGTGAAATAATTTCAGTCTAAGTTGTTTTACCTTTCTTAATATTGATTGCAGTACCAGAGTGTAAGGTACGGAGATCTATTAAGATCAAGCATGACAATGGACCAGCTAATTTATTTTAGAAGCGGGAAAGATATGTCTTACACCCGAGATATCAATGTAAACAGTTTAAAAGATTCAAAAATAAGATAGCACATTTACAAAATAATGTATGTCCTGTTCAGACTACACAGCAAGCCCTCGAATAATTATATACCTGTATTATATCAGTGATATAAAAAAAATCATGCAGCACTTGTGATATCGCACCTACTCTACATGATTAATAAAATTGTTTTCCTTGACAGCTTTCTGAAGTTTGAAAAACATCGACTAGTGATACCCACTTTTATTCGCAAGCTCAGCGGGCGCAATAATGTATAATATGTGATCATGCTGAACCAACAAGCTTCAGCTTCACACATTGTTTCATTTGATAAACAAACATCCATTTTGTAAAGATCAGTAATAACAACACTACAATGTATAAAGTTGATTTTATCTATTCATTTATCTAACAGGCTTAACGTCCGGTATTACAGCCTTTTGGCCTTTCAACACTTCAGGAGACGGAGTTAGTTCGACAGTCAGATTATCAGGTACAATCTCTGTACTTAACACAAGTTAATAAATATCAATTCATGGATATCGGTGTTCCATCCATGTTCACTATAAAGTCCAAACCTGTAGAAAAGGGGAGACACGGATAGATTTGTGAACAAACGGAAGAAAATGAATTAAAAAAAAGATGAAAAGATCTCAGAAGAATGCATGTTATTTAAGTAAATACCTCCTCAAAATTCGTTTCTTACTACGTAGTCCACTTTTTGTATACTCTCTCAATAAATTAACTTTATTTATATATTTACTACTTATACTGACAAATCTTGTAAGCGAGCGAGGAGTCTCTCTGTTTGAGAAAACACAAATTCGTTCAGGGAATCAAACCCCGGGCAGCAAGGAGAAAAGCGTGTGTGTTACTACAACACCACCTGACCAACGTCAGATGGCGATGATGAATGTAACAACGTCTTGTAAATAACGAAAAACACGGTTATAGATCCAAGTCCGTGGTAACACATTGATATGTCGGCGCGTGACTTCCTAAAATCTTGCAAAAAATAAGCAAATTAAAAAAAACACGCTTCTGTGAATCTATTCAAACTTTCATCGATATTCACCTACTTTTTAGTCCTAAATTCGGAATTCTTCTCTAAATCTAAAGGTCAACAGGTCAGTGGTAGGAAATAATAGGTCAACAGGTCAGTGGTAGGAAAGAACAGGTCAACAGGTCAGTGGAAGGAAACAAAAGGTCAACAGGTCAGTGGTAGGAAACAATAGGTCAACAGGTCAGTGGTAGGAAACAATAGGTCAATAGGTCAGTGGTAGGAAACAAAAGGTCAACAGGTCAGTGGTAGGAAACAATAGGTCAACAGGTCAGTGGTAGGAAACAAAAGGTCAACAGATCACTGGTAGGAAACAATAGATCAACAGGTCAGTTGTAGGCAACAATAGGTCAACAGGTCAGTGTTAGGAAACAAAAGATCAACAGGTCTGTAGTAGGAAACAGTAGTTCAACAGGTCAACAGAAGAAAACAATCAAAGGCAAAGACATTAGGTCAACGGCAGGAACAAGAAATCAACAGCTCCACAGTAGGAACAAGAAATCAACAGCTCAACGGCAGGAACAAGAAATCAACAGGTCCACAGTAGGAACAAGAAATCAACAGGTCCACAGTAGGAACAAGAAATCAACAGGTCAATAGCAGGAACAAGAAATCAACAGCTCAACAGTAGGAACAAGAAATCAACAGGTCAACAATAGGAACAAGAAATCAACAGGTCAACGGCAGGAACAAGAAATCAACAGGTCCACAGTAGGAACAAGAAATCAACCGGTCAACAGTAGGAACAAGAAATCAACAGGTCCACAGTAGGAACAAGAAATCAACAGGTCCACAGTAGGAACAAGAAATCAACAGGTCAACAGTAGGAACAAGAAATCAACAGGTCCACAGTAGGAACAAGAAATCAACAGGTCCACAGTAGGAACAAGAAATCAACAGGTCCACAGTAGGAACAAGAAATCAACCGGTCAACAGAAGGAACAAGAAATCAACAGGTCCACAGTAGGAACAATAAATCAACCGGTCAACAGTAGGAACAAGAAATCAACAGGTCCACAGTAGGAACAAGAAATCAACAGGTCAACAGTAGGAACAAGAAAACGGCAGAAAAACCTCGAGTTAGTCGTAAATATCCTCCTTGGGCAGATATTTCTTTGTCCTACCCTCAAATTAAGGAATGATCCTTTTTTCTACCCCTCATCTCCAACATGATAGACATAGAATAGCGAGGACAAAATATGAGGCAAAATCTATTTTTTTGTTATGTTTTATTTTGACCAAACTGTAATATACATTATACACTGTGCAAAGACAATTGTGATGGTAACTCATTGTCATAAAAGATGATCAGATACTGCCCTACAATAATATAAACCTTCTTTTGAACCGTCAATATCAATCAGTCACGTCCCAAAATTACAACTTCCAGTTTAGCACGTGTTTATGTTCTGTGCGTGCTGGTGCGCCACCGGAAGTGTGGATATTTCTGTTCGATGGGTTAGAAAAACTAAACATTACTCTCGAATTTTGTTTACAAGATACCATCTATACCTGATCTACTAATCTTAAATGTTTAAAAAAAATCTTGAACTGTTTTCAGTTTGTTCATAATTCAAACTAAGAGTTAAACTATAATACAGCTGTTTCGTCCTTCTCCTAGAGGTCTCAAGCACATGTTTACAAATAAATATGTCATCGGACATTCATATTCTTGGAGATAAGGTATTTTAATACAGACGGCCATATTGCCGTTTATACTCATCATGTTGTGAAAAGAATGGGATAGACAGGTGATAAAATATCTGTTAAGTAAAACAATAAGAAGCTATAAATACGTAACCATAATCGTAATCTAAACTAAAGATTAAAAGAAAACCATGTATATAACAATGGAACCACCAGGCGAACTAACGCACATCAAACATGTCCAGATTCATATCGCACAAAGATACAGAAAATGGACTGCAGCCGTAAAGTGTCTTAATATTCGTGCAGATGTTTGGAAAGCAATTAAATATCATAACAATATATAAAATAAAATCTACAGACATAAGTGTTACAATAAGGATAAATTTTGAGAAAAAATATCGACGACCATTGAAATATATTAGTTAAACTGTAATAATATCATATCATACAGGAAACGACAAAAAATACATTATCCTTATAAGCTATTGTAAATTAATAAGGCACAGATAACTTGCAAATCGTGGGAGAGATATTACCAGGGATTATTTTAAACATGAAGACATTTGGTGTTAGAAGGAACTGGCACTCATCTTAGAACCTCTGTGCAGAAATAATGACAAAACATCGAGTGATCTACTGTGGATTCATTTTATTTCGTGGGGGTCCAATTTTCGTTGTTTTCGTGGATGAGCAAATCCACGAATTTAAAAACACAACGAAATATGAACTACTTACTAAAGTAATTTTGAAATTTGACCAAGTAATCTTTGCCGACACCGGAAACGTCCACCGGTAATGACAGAAGCCCCGTAATTAGTCGGGAGTCGGGTAGTCTGAGGCTCGACATGGATACGCTAAATTGGTGTCAACGATATATAATTATATATTATTAAACACAACAAAGGGTAAGTACCCATTGTGATGCTAAGTATGATGGGATCGCAGTCGTTAGCGACACTGTGGACACTAGGCTTGATCGGACCATCCTGTCGATTGAAGATTGGATCCGTATTTCTATCCGACTACAGGTTCACAATAATTATTAATAATGCAGATCTTGTTTACACACCTGTTTACACACATGGTCCAATCGATACGCGTGGTGTATTACAGGCTAATTTCACTGGGTGATATATTGATATGGTGTGAGGTAAACGTTCATTCTGGAGTTAATGCTAAATGTTTAAAACCTTTGTTTATAAAATTCTTTCATCTGGTACAAGATATATTATTAAGAAGTGTTTTCCTGTAAAAAGAACTTAACATGGCGGAAATAACCTGGTCAAGCTGCAATGGTATGCTAGTATTCACAATCTTGGATATCTTGGAACAGATGGTAGAATTTTACAGATATTGAATGCGAAAAAAACATTACAAAAAACATTAATATATACTAAAGGATATTCTTCGCTCTTTATTTTACATTTAATAAAACATATTACAAATTTTGATATGATGTTAAATAACACTGGACTATGGAAAAAAAGGGCAAACACAAGATATTGAACATATAGTAGAGATATTAACGTGAGCAGGAACAATAAAAGTCAAGGATACAGTGTATAATAAAGAATAAGACAAAATAACGTCAATCTGCTGTGGCTTGGTTCTGGATATACACATGTACTTCCTTCTAAAATTATGTATGTATAAAAATTACAAAATCCATTGAGGAATGGCGAAAGTGCATCTCCCCACCTAGAATTATTACTTTTCTTTCGATCACTTGGGATTTTACTCCTAGGCTTTAAAGAATCAAGACCTTAGCATCACTGACGAGTCCTACAAAACTGCTAAATTACCAATTATATCAGCACTTTCCAACTCACGTCTTTTCCATCGTATTCGGCGGAATGTTGCATGACGTCTTTATGAGCTTTTCCATGGTACACACCAGGGTCAGCTGGAACTCTAATGCGATTGAACCCTGATACAGCTGTTCCTTATGTGTTAGTTGGTGTTATTTGGTGAGATATAATACGTTGGAACTAGTTTGATGTCTGCTGGTAAATTGTTGGTCATCATTTCTTTGTTTTCAAACTCAGTTGATTTTAGAACTTTCAGTAATCGTTTGGTATCCTTTTCATACAGTTCCTTGAGGTCATTAGCAATTTCCTCAGAAAACGAAGCCATCTCTTTGATATGGTACCAAAATATTAGCATACTGAAAATCATCAGCACACATAATCCCAATAACGCAAACAACAGCACTTTTGCACTACATGTTTGGCTAACCTTCTTTTCTAGATCAGTCATGGCTGGACTGAACGAACACTCAAACAATCAGTAGGTTTTACACAGTTTTTACCAACCCGGCTGTCGATGATGTGATATTTTTTCAGCAGAAGAATGTTACATCTACAAACATGTCAACATTTATATCAGATTTCTGTTGTAACAACCGCTTTTCTAATAATTAATTACATGCACTTAACTTAGCACGGCTACACATGATCATGGCATGCACACTGCGGATGATTGTGTAACCGATTTATGTCGCCTTGTACCCAGTGATACAGGTAGGTAAACTACCCACCGAATTACTTTGTCAGTGCATGGTTGGGATGTCATGTGTGACTTGACGGACTCACTATGCAAGGTGGGCAAGTCTACATCAAGTTATGATACAATTAAATACCCTCGGTTAACTATAGAAATGTCCCAAGCCTTCAGTACCTTTGTCAAGAAATATCTGTAAAAAAGAAACAAGGGTTTTAACATATGGCAATGACGAGTCTTTGAAGAACGAAACAACTGTAGGATGCCGAAAGAGTGTTTGTATCACTTGTATGTCTTTGGTTAGTCCTAAGTGCAGATTATCATCTATATTTCAACGTTTGTTTCAGCAAATTTTGTCATTCCACTTAACAAATTATCAAACTCATATTTAACTCCTCCGCCATAACCGGCCAAACAACTTTGTGATACAATTTAATTCATTATCTGACTCTACTCTCTTTAACTCTAACTTTGGTTTCGGAATACCCTCAAGAAATACGTTTTTCATCACATAATGGTATAACTTTGTTTCATTCAAAGACGTACATTGAATTCATGATCTTTTGGATTACAGATTTTTTAACACAGCCCTGAAACTGTCCAACACAGTTTGTATGGAATTTTTTTTTAAAACAAAAAATTGCAAAACCAGAAACCTGAAAGGTGACACAACCTTCATTTCCATGGTAAACTTTCATTTCCACGGAAGTCAGGCAGCAATGCAACTCAAAATGCCTTATCCGGGTTCAAACCCAATACCCAACCGGGCGTCTTGAAAGTGGATCTGCTCATTTCAGGATAACTCGGGTCAACGACATCGACATCTAGATTGCCGCCAAATGTTCAGATGCGTAGTAATTATCCATAGGTTCAACTCTCTCTGAACATTTTACAACAAATTATGTCTAGAAGTGACATTTTCTATGTGAATATCAAATTTATTTTCATGTTGATATATTTCAATTATTTTTTTTCCAAAAACGGACTACATTTTCGCATTTCCGTATTGCGAAGTTATCCGCAAAAAGCATAGTCAGCTTCGTCCTTTAATATATGTCCTAAATATAGCAGTAATTTGGCTGTTTTGCTTGTAAAAATGTAATAATTAGCATATTTATTAGTGTCTTCAGTAATAATGCTCACTCGTGAATGACGCTAAAATATTAGACACTTATTGAAATGCCAATGTATATTCATTATTACTGAAGACATCAGTTAACTCACGTTACGATTTTGTTTCGTTCGACCATTCTGTGTTAAATGTCGTTTTGTGATTGAGGGTGTTTGATATTAGAATAAACGCATAAATTCATTTATCAGGCAAAAAGGTACCATCATGGAATAAAACTTTCCTCATTCCCAGTACCTTGTTCGTGATTGTGTATGCATTTCTCCTAGGACTCATTTGTACATATATAATAAGAACACATCATATACAGAACATATTGGATGACAAATTGAATCCCATCGAACCCAAAACGAGGTAACAAACACTAAAAACCGTCCAATGCCACCGACAAGGATCCACTAAATCAGGACCAAATGGTGGCAACAACCCGTGAGACGTCGAAAGAAAAGGTCACTGCCATCGACAAGGAGACACCAAAACAAGACACGAGTAGAAAGTTCATCTCACATTGGTTTTCACTATAGCACAAAAAGTCTTTCAAGATATAAGAAGAGACGTCAAAAGAAATAAAGAACACAACAATCGTACAAGATACTTCAAAACAGTAGAAAAGACAATTATGTAAATATAAGGACAAAAACAGAAAAGAACGCTAACACCCATGAGACAAAAAACATGATAAAATTATAGCAACAAGCCAGAGCTCGTCAAACCAAAAAGTATAAAAACACGAAATGTGCACCATTCATGTCATCATAATTTCACAACAAAGACCTTGAGACAAGTGAACTAGTATCACGATCCGCTGCATGTAAACCATGAACGGCGAGTTCGAATGACAAGACATATCGTACATGTACAGGTATGGTGACTGGGACATAATCCAGACTCTAAATTCAATTAAACTAAAGCAAACTACAAACAAAAGAACGATTTACAAGGAGACGAAAACGTTGTTAATCAGAAACCGTTCTCCGTATATTTATTCTTTGATTTCGGCGTAATTTTCACGAAATACGCTTCAGTAAAGTGCCTAAACATGTATTTGTACCACCGTTCACCTTTCTTTGAAAAGAAAACTCCCATCAAAAGAGAACGAAGGAGTTCTTTGCGCTTTTATTTATATAATAAATTAAGTTAACTGCATAAAATAACAACCCCGATTGGACAGTGGATACTTTAGACAGAAATTCATGTAGTTGGAGGCTGAAGGAATTTGTTTGTGTATAAGAGGACGCCGAGAAAAAGGACCTGAGAAACATACTATTATGTACATTTAGTGGTGGGCCGAAAATAATCGATCATCAGTGACGATTCTAGAAGCCAATTCATCGAAAATAAGGTAAGCCAGGAAATAGTCTTGTTGATTCTTTATTTTTCTGACTTATTCAATTTACAACTGACTACGTCGGAAATAAAATACGTTACCAACCGCTAACTTGTTGGTAGTGTACAGTATTGAAAAGTACGAAAATATGGTCGCAAACAAACAAATGCACAAAACTCAAAATGGCGGATGCCACATCTGACAATTTTAACCAATATATATAATCCATTTCCACAAAAGTGCAATTCAGCACCAATTTGTTTTTAGAAAATCGATGGACAGCACTCTTTACACGAGTTCATTTGGGCAATATGCGACGAAGCCTACCGTTTGTTGTTCTGTGCATAAGAAACTACCTGCTAACGGGGAAACTCGCCCAATTAAAGGAAATCCTTCCTTTCAAAGGAGCAATAAATATAAACAAAGATGTCGTTCTCGGATGTTAAGTTAGAGAAATTCTATATCGGTAGTTTAAATACTAAATAGCTACACTTCCACATATCAATAGCAGTCTCAATTAATATATTCCAGTCATTTCTACTGAGTTAGAAATTCATTCTTGTCAGGTAGCATCAGGTATTTTAAAGCTACATTATCATCTATTTACTATGAGACTATATTTGTAAAATGTCTAGATATATTTTTTGTAAAATGTATAGATACGTATATTTGTAAAATTTCTAAATACGTTTATTTGTAAATTGTCTAGATACGAATATTTGTAAAATGTCTAGATATGTTTTTTGTAAAATGTCTAAATACGTGTATTTGTAAAATGCCTAGATACGTATATTTGTAAAATGTCTAGATACGCATATTTGTAAAATGTCTAGATACGTATATTTGTAAAATTTCTAAATACGTTAGTTTGTAAAATGTCTAGATACGTATATTTGTAAAATGTCTAGATCTATTTTTGTAAAATGTCTAGATACGTATATTTGTAAAATTTCTAGATACGTATATTTGTAAAATTTCTAAATACTTATATTTGCAAAATGTCTAGATACGTTTATTTGTAAAATGTCTAGATACGTATATTTGTAAAATTTCTAAATACTTATATTTGCAAAATGTCTAGATACATGTATTTGTAAAATGTTTAAATATGTATATTTGTAAAATGTCTAAATACGTACATTTGTAAAGATAGACTTGTATTTATAAAATTGAAAACATTTTTATTTTGTAAAATTGAGAAAAACGTGCATTTGTAAAATTATCAAACACATGCATTTTCAAAATTGATAAAGTGTTTTTGCAAAATTGATTAACACATGTTTTTGTAAAGATTATAAACGTGTATTTATGAAATCGCTAAACACGTGCGGGTTCGGCCTGAAAGTTCTGCCGATACTGGTCACACACATTCTAACAGTAGTAGTGATACACCAGTGAGTCCCTCTTCCCCGTGGCAGAATTGACGGCTTGTCCCCGTGGTTCACGCGCAGGTTACCGTCATATGAAAAGTCTTCCTCATACATACAACGTACACGTGGTAGTGTTTTATTATTAAAATTTAAATGCCACATCCTTTTACACACATGGCGAAACTAGTCAGAGACGTGAATTCACCATTACCTTAAATATGCAGATTCCGTCACTGATAGTATGAAAATATATCTTTTATCATTTGTAAAAGCAGAATGGGATATGATTAAGTAATGGTAATATCAATGTGAATATAATAAAAGTGTCAGTTTAATTCACGTTAATCAAGTATTGAAATTTCGTGGTAATGGTATAATTGAGTTGTCAAAGCAAGATAATATTGTATAATATTAGTATCTGTCAGCTGTCAAACGTGTGATACACAACTGCACGGATGAATTACACTTTTTCCAAGGAATGCAGTAAAAATCACAAATACATCAACACCTAAACCACTGGCACATTGAATAAAATCTACCCAACGTCAAAAACAAAAAACTATATATTCATATATATATATATATATATAATCTGTCTCTCTGTCTCCCTCCCCCCTACTTCCTCTCTGTCTCTGTTATCAGCCAGTTGTAAGTAAATCAATGTATTTCAATTATATGAATAACAAACCATGTCAAAACTGATATGGTTATTTACTATTTATTCTCCTTCATATTTTCACTTGTAAAATATTTCATCTTATTTCACACGGACATTCCTGTGCATTTACTGTGGGAAAAGTATTACCAACGTCATGCAGCGTGAAAACTTCATACTTACTATCGACGGAAATGTTGAAGAATGAACTTCCGTAACGTAAATGATACCCATCAGTTCGGAAATTCGAATTCCGGTTCCGGAAATACTTTTTGG